TGTCACTTTTGACAAATATTACAGATTCGTAAATATATAGGCACGGCAGTGGTAAGATTCCCAGATCAATAAAGAGAGTCTTGCAAGGGTAACGCAGATGGCATTTTTTCATTATTCGAATAATTTTCTTTTGCAATCTAAAAGTCTGAGTACTACATGATGATTTCCCCCAGAATATTATACCATATCTCAGGTGGGAATGTACATATGCAAAATACACGCAACAAGCTGCATAAAGGCTGACAGAATTTGAAAGAATTCTGAATGCGTAACATAATGAACTTAATTTAGTATTTAATTTTGTTATATGAACATTCCATTTGAGGTTTGACTGAATTAGAGACCTAGAAATTTTGTTACCTGAACATCAGCTAATTGCACATTATTCATTTTCAATGTATCATGCAATTGCTGCTTTGAAAGGCAAAAATGCATTGAAACTGTTTTTCCTTCGTTAACTATTATTTTTTTTTATTACAAAAGCAATTTAAAATATCTAAAATCGAACTAATAATTATTTCTTTTGCAAAGAATATTCGTGTCATCGGCAAACAGAACCATTCTTCCGTTTTTAATAGACGACGGCATATCGTTTACGTATAACAGAAAGAGGATATGACCTAAGATCGAGCCTTGCGCTATTCAAGCAGCTTACGTAATGACCCTGTTTGATCTTTACACAACACAATACTAGGGGATTTTCACACTCGCCGCGATGCCAACTGACAAATGCTTAAAATCAACATTTTCTAAATGATCAGTTTTATCGAAAGTTTTCACAAATTTAAATAATGTGGGAGAAAAAGTGAACATTCTCAATATTGTACTTAAGGAATTAGGGACATAAGAATTCAAATCCTGGAATTTGAACTAAATTAATGTTATACTTGCGATGTTTTAAGTTGCTTAATGCCTCTAGAGGACATTCCCGGAAGATCCACGCAAGCTGGATGTGAAGAGAGCGCCTGCTGGCAAGAATTTCAATTACTTACATAGTAGCAAGGCCAGCCCAACCTCTGCGCAAAACGCGACAGCCTACTCAATGTGCATGTGTACTAACTTCCCCGCGCTCCTTCCCCTGTCAAATGACGCCGTAAAGGCCCATTCACAATTCAAACGTAAACATAAGCGTAGATATTACGTAAGTGATAGACTAAAGTATTCACAAGTTCTAACATAACGTAATCAAAAGAAGAGTTTCTATTGGCTGTGGGGCATTCTGGTTTACTATTGGTCGGATGTGAGAATCGATTTCAAGGTATAGACTGTGCCCACAGGCCATATGGCATTAGTTCTATCGACATCGATTCTCAATATTGAGTTACCGTTCTGTGATTGGTTCATTTATTATGTCTTGCTTAAGCATAAGCACAGAACCTTTTAGTTAACGTCTTACGTGTTATGCTTATGCGAACTTTTGTGTTAAAGCCATGCTTATGTTTATGTTTGCATTGTGAATAGGCCTTCACGCGTTAGGCGGACGAGACTCAGTCTCACCCAGGCCTCGCCCGCCTCTCTGGGTGGCGAAAAGACCCAACACATGGAGTATGCATAAGAACAGAAAAAAAATAACTTGGTGCGCGTATGTACGGTATTAATTGGCTAAGAAGCGACATTCCGAATGTACAATACGTTATGTTTTTAGTGAGGTATTTCTCGCCATCTTCAAAATTCGTTGGGATAGCTCAGCTTACTCTGCCCATCCTGACGCTTCGCCACGGTTTTACACACTATCCAACAATAAACTTCAATAAAAACTGGTGGAGCCTTTTTTAATGAACTAGTTGCTTCATGAAAAGTACTCCCAAAAATTTAAATATGTTTCAAATTCATGGGTCTGTTACGTCAGCAAGATCGATTGGGGGCAATCATATTTGGAGAAAATCTGCTGAACAGTTTAGCAGCTAGCATTGTTCACAGACAGACATTTTGCCGTCATTCGATTTTTCGGTATCACGTATACACGAAACATGGATTATGACTACACCACGTGGTAGAGGATCCTCCCCCCTAAATTTAGTGACTGGATTTATCCACTTCGTTACCAGGGCCCTGTAATAAGAGTTTTTCTGCCGAAAATTCGCAGTTTTTTGGTGCAGCATTACATAACGTTCTCCACTTCGTAGCGAGAAAGTAAAAAATAAGTAACTTCTGTATTAGACTTTTTTCGTTTCTTGATAGCTGGCGCTGAAATCGACAAAAAGAAAGCAAAAGACCGTTGAAAATGAGTTTTTTACAACAAGGGCAACAAATGATACGAAACGCCGAAAAAAACTCGGTTTTTAAAAAACATTTTTGCGTGTTTTGATTTTTACCGATTACCACAAAAAGGAAAAAAAAATATTAAATACAAAAGTTACGTATTGTTCCGAAAAATCCGAATCTGCAATAAAAAATTGGTGTCCTGATTTAACTTTTTTATTTTACCCCACCCTCATCCCCGGGGAGTAGGGGTGAGGGGTCGAGTTTGGTGTCATTGGATGGTCCCCGCAAATGCCTCCTACATTGTCATTGACCCGGCCGCAATGTAGGCGTTGATCCTATCGATACAAACAACTTTCATTATCCAATGCGCCCTTTTCGAAATATTCCCTAAACCAAATTTAAATGGTACATACAGTATTAATGTTAATGAATTTTAGAAATTACATTCCCGACATTTGATGGAGCTGCGACCCTCGTTCTGGAGGCACAACGGCCACGGGTAGTTACTGAAATTATAACATTTGTGATCAACTGCATAGTACTTAGACGAAAATGCAAATCATAAACAATATCAATGACTTTCAGCTGCCCGGAAAAGAAACAACCAACTATCGGTGGGCCTCTGAGGCTACCCCACTTGGAATGCTAGTTATCCTTGCTATATAATAAAGATACATTGGCCTTTATTTGGCATAAAAAGTTTGCTATTACAAATATTGATGCGAGAAAGACATCTTTTTTTCATTTGCGGTGATCGTACTGATTTTTTTTTAATTTAATGAATGCACACGTCTAATTTGGTGTCTTGTTGATGGATAAATCATACACGGATATATACTCCTATGTAAACTTCGTGGCATTTCAAGGTAACGAGCTGGAAGGAGAGGAGTGTCACTGACAGCAAATCCGGAGTTCAAATACAAAAAAAATTAAGTCGTAACGAATTCCCCATCAATGGGGAGCCCCGCACCCCGGAAAAATATTTATAAAATATAAGAGAAAAGCATAAAATGTTGGTATCTATAATAGAATTGTTCATCAAACAGTACTGTTCTAAAAAGTGTGTATTTTAAAAATAAAGAAGATTGTAAAAATAGGTATTCTATTATGGTTTTTGGTAAATCCGGAAGATTTTGTTTTTTGGAAGCAGGGGCACGACTTTACTGGTGCTTGGGGGCCCTGCAGAACCTAAATACTGCTCTGGTTATAATATGTAGACAAAATAAATGACCTACTGTCACCAGCAGTAAAGATCAGGGAAAATTGAATAATATAAATCTGGATCAACTTTCTTAGAAATAACGGGTGGAACGCTACACGTTTTGCGGTGGCCTCTGTCAAGTACCATTATTACAAATAATGAATTATCATTGTACGATATCCTTACCTCTTGGCGATGGTCTTCATAAGCAACCCTCGCAAGGCTAGCAATCTTGTTAGATTTTTGCCTGTTGTTTTGAACGATTTGGGTTTCTACTTCTCTTGTAATGCAATCAGAATTCATACATTATTTATGTGCATGAAGACTCTAACTGCTGTTGCTCAGATGAGAAACCTGTCACTTTTTATCGCAATACACACTGTGAAAACATTTTATAACTTTACGTGTTTTGGTTCCAGGGATGTCCAGGACAAATTTGAATGTCGGGTGGCTACTTAAGTTTACCTTTGAGCCTAAGGACTTCCTAAGGTTTACCTTCTTCTTTTTTAACATCAAGGATTAGGCCTGAATGCCTGTTTCATCCTCATCAATCCATCGAGCCTTTGATAGGTTTATCTCCAACGGTTTACTTTGCTTGTAGGTAAATATAGCTCCAGCTATAATAAACAATATTCTTTGTGCAAACAAAAATACATTAAAACCCTCCCAAATATTGAATTTCCAAATATTTGCATTTGACCCGCATTCCCCCCACATGCGGGTAATGGAAGTCACTAAAGAAATATAAAGCAAAATGAACATATCAGTAATTTATGAAGAGAGATGTGAGAGGTTTGCACCTCTTCTGTGGTGTTCTAAACAGGATACTCTGGACACAGGTAGCTCTGTGGATCTTGCACCTTCAATGATTGCTTCAATTTCTGCAGCCAACTAGGCTGAAGATAATTCTTCTTCATTGGTCGTTTGTTTATGATTTCTGGGCACTTGCTAGAACGCAAATTCATTCAGATCAATAAATTATTTTGTTAGGAGCCATAGTCATGGTCAATTTGTGATTCCTCAAAACAAAATTAACTTATCAACAAGAAACATTTGAAGAAGGGCTCTTCCTCACTCCATGTTACCACTCTCCCAACATCAATTTAACTGGATACCGAGTAATCAGTAGTTGCTATTGTAAGCATTGTGAGACCCAGCATACAACCATGCATCCACATAAAAGATTGCATCAAGTGAACCAAATACATTTTTTTAATGAATATGAACAACCAAAACATAAGGGAATTTATATACAAGGAATGGATTTTTTCCAAGCACCCAAGGATCTTCAGATCTCCAAGCCTCCCTCACCCCTTGACTATGTGCCTAGAGGCATTAATAGAGAATTGGTCATTGGGACAGTTTTAAAATTTCATAAAATGCTCATTTAATACTAGTAAAAAGGAAATTGAACAAATTAATTCTTAAGCATTATATGAAAATTAATGTCATCTTGAAAGTATTGTTATATTAATAAATTGAACAAGAAAAACATTATTATTTATTTACCATATTCTATGATACTGATAGTATTTTTATAAGGGGGTCAAATAGATGAATTTTGTCTATCAAACAAGCAAAATCTTGAACTGTAAGAAAATCAAACGAAACATCTTTAATCACATTTTAGTACAATGTACATGATAATATATACTCAAAATATTCATGGAATATGAACCATTCATCAATTTTAAAAATAAATACACGAAATATAATAATTAAAATAAAATGTACTGTAGATTAAAAGAAAAGTAAGTCATGCAGAGTATACACTCTTGCCAATTCAGGGAAATAGCAAAGTGAATTAATAAAACAATAACTTCTGAGATACATTTATTGACATACCATTTCCATTCATACAGATATTAAAATTTTATCACCCAGCATCAAACAAACAACTTACGTTATGGCTTATGTACAGCAGAGTGTGGTGGGACGGTACTTTACAACTGATACCCTCAAAAAGAGATTAACATTGCCCTTGTTTGGGAATCAAGAGTCCACACTCTTGACACTTTCGAGTCTGTACATACACAGCTAGAAAAGTATACCTATTCATTGGTGGATGTCACTTACTGTTTGGAGTTGAATTCCCCAGATAATATCAGATTACACAATATACCTTGTAAATATATGTACATGCTTATAAATCCATCATATAAAAAAATTGAATTGTGACTGCTTTAAAAATTAGACTTCTTTTGCAGACTTAACCGACAGGCCTTAGATAATGCACAAGGAAGAAATCGTATACCTTGGCAATGATTTTATTATTAGGACACAAGTAATACTGGCATAAAGTAAAATCAGAAAATGCATTTTCTCAGAAATACATGAACTTTAACATTACATACTGTCGCTGTAATAGATGTGATCATTGTAGCCTAAAAGAAATATGTGAGTACTTTTGTGTTCAGGAGGAAGAGTACATGATATACAATTATTAGTACCACATACTCAACAATATATGATTTACAGTCATTATTTATAAAATAGTGAGCAATAGAACCAACACCAAACAAAAGATGACCTAGTTTCAAATCATGAGAACCAGAGGGTTCAGCCATATTTGCTTTCATCCTTAAATGTTTTATTTACTTATTCACATGTAAAGCATCACGTTTCTCAACACTCACTTTGATACATTTTGTTCTTCAATATATATCAAATTAAATAAGTTGTGATGAAAACCATCCGAAACTTGGTTACATCATTAAATTTTTTTAAAGCAACCAGTTATAAAATATTTCAAAATCGTGTCATATTAGCATGTATTGTATTGATCTTAAATGCTTCACACATGATTAAAGCAAATCACTATTAACTTTCATTTAAGAATATATTACAAGAACAGTGCACCCAGAAAAGCATAGAGTAGGACGGAACGTCAATGATTACAGTTAACCAAGATCCTGAAGTTTTCCCTGTACATCAGTTCTTAAGACTTCACATCCAAAACACTTGGGCAACTGGAAAGTCATATTGGAATGTATAATTGTTAGAACATGAAAAAGTTCCACAACTTAATATTTGTCTATGCATAAAAATACTTCATTTGCAGTTTTCTCACATTACATCCGGACAGCCTGTAGTCCATGATGAGAAAAAAATGGTTCTTTTGCCAGACACTTAGTTATAAATCAGTTTTTCCACTATTATAAACTTTCCCCTATATAGCTTTTAATTTGTTTTTCTATTTTTGAAATAGGTATTCAATTCACAAATGTCATCAGCCATTTGGTATCCTATATATTCCAATATCAGGCTCAAGCCATGAGATTGGTTTAATGTTTTCCAGATCTTCAACCAGCACAGCCAGCCATCCAGCTAAATGCTTCTCATTTGTCCTCTAGGTTTACATATGGTTCACATTCTCAAAGAGAATTCTCCTAGGATAGACCATGTTATGTGAGGGTAACTGTAAACTAGCTGCTTAAATTTAGCTGTATTATTAAATAAGTAAAAGTAGTATTTATATAGTTTACTGCACCAGTAAAGTGTTTATCAGGTTGTTTACCAATTGTTTGAAATTATAATTAATGATTGACGATAGAAACCCAAGATGATTTGTTAACTACCAGTACTGTACCAGTGTATGAATGCACCAGTCAGTACAAATGTTTCCACTGAACATGGAAACTAGTAGATTCAGGAATACCCTGATGTAGAATATCACGTAAACTTATGGTTCATAAAATCTTCACTTAGAAAGAGAAACAAAATTCATTCTACTTGATTGCAAATTATGTTCACTCAGAAACAGGATTTGATGTTTTAAAAGGCGCCAAAATATTTTCAATATAAATAATTATGCAAAAAGATTTGTTAATGTGTAACAACTGCATAAACCAAATATTTATTCAATTTTTACTCAGTTTAAAATTTAAAAAATGTGTTTTAGCATTCGCTGATAGCTGTACACATAGGCTTCCGCGGCTCGAGTCCCGGACAGCCTAGAAGTAATTCGCTGATAGCTAGCAACTGATATACAAATTTATCTAATATATACCTTAAATCTTCAAAATATATGGGGAAAATAAAATCTAATTTTTATTCTTTTGGTTGAGATGTAGTAACATGGAATACTTGTTTCGAACCATCACAGAAATTGTAGTTTTGTACATCATTTCTAACACTTCATGTACTCTTCCACACCTTTAATTTTACTAAGTATCCTATTTTTATCACTATTCCAAATAAAACCTTCTTTGAACTGAATTTAAATTCACCTAATTTAATTATCAATATTATTAGAAATAAACAATTATTATTATTTCTTCATCTGTAGAACAAATTAAATAAGTAACTGCAAACTCATATATTGTATAAATCATCACAGATATTCAGTCAATAATAGCATAATTCTTATGACAACCATCATTATGACAAAAGACTACACATCATCTCTATACTCTGAATAAATTATGCTACTATAAAACGTATCACCCTTTCAAACTAACCTCACTTGTTGGAATCAATCCTACAGTTGTGGGGCTACTAAAGCCAGTGTCAAACATTTTACATCAGATGTACACTTCCCCTTTTGGTAGAAACCACATCCATAATTTGATAGGCCTTTCTTTCTTGTGACGTTTGAGAAATATAATCATAAATAACTGCAATATTTGAACTCTTCAATGATCTTCAATCAGTTTTAAAGAGGATTGTATGAGAGCTTTTAGCAGAGTATGAACAATCAATGTAATATCCAAGAATCTCTAAAGGTTTTTGTTTCAATACAACACGAAAATTTGCAGCAATGGCAAAACCTGAAGGAAAAAACCTAAAGAAAAAAATCAATAGGAAAAATGTCAGGGAAAATTTCAGTTATGGTAGGAAACAAGAGCAATTAACAAAGTATCTTCTGAATTTTACTAATATTGAAAAATAAATTTTAGAAGTGCAAGGAAGGAAAAGAAAGAAATAATAAAAAGACATATTATTCCCAAAGACACATTCAATCACTTAACTCATTAGCAGTGACAGTGTCGATTACAATATTCTGAGCTACTCTCTAATAAAATAACAAAATAGTCTATGGATATTTCAGTAAATAGTCAACTAATATTCCTTAACAAGTAGGAAAATTCATACTTAAATAAAAATATACATTTCTTTTAATTTATATAGCTTTAAGATGAGATTAAAGTAACGTAAAGGACAAAAAACATCAGCACGTGATGAAAAGGCAAGTAGACTGCATTAAATGTAATGCAATTCAAGAGATTATGTAACGACATTTATGCTACATACAAGTGATGGCATATGAAAGTACATTTTATGTTCATAGTAACATGTGAAATCTAACTGTCCCTTCATGTATAGAAAGGTCTATATAAATATAACACATGAAGAGCGTTAGTAAAGATGGCTGAACTGATGGGTTATTAACTATGAAGATGAAGTAAACGATGGAACACCTGGGCAAAGTTTTGAAGAGCATGCTCATCACCAATTAAGGTTTCTCTTCTGCAGCATCTGATAAACCATAAAACTTGGGCTGTGGACAAATAGAAAATGACAATTAATTGCTACTCAAAATTCCACATTAATCCCCACTCTGAAATACAATTATTATCCCTCCAAAAAACAATTAGAACAACAGGCTTATCATGCAGGCATAAAATCTCAATGCGATACTGAGCAACAATAACAATACATAGAAGATGCTACATAAGCCCCACTCATTTTAATCTCAGTTAAATACAAAAACACAAAATCAACAAAACAACAAAAACACTCCTTCAACACCATTTAGATGTATGGAAACAAAATAAAAAGTTATAAAAGTCGCCACTATATAAAACAGGACAAAAATATTGATAAAATATTGTGTTAGTGCACAAAATTCACACTTAAATACCAATAATAAATGCAAAGAAGATCATGTCTGAAAGCGTACAACAAAATATTCATAATTGAAGACCAAGAAAACTATCTAAGAAGAATTTTGAGCACATCTCAATTCTATATTTAAAAACATAAATTATACAATTTCATAGAGACATGTTCTTATTTTGCACCAACTGCACACACAAAATTTGTAATACACAATACGTAGCAATACAGACCATTAATGTAGAATGAGCTACAAGGATAAATTATTGAAAAAATATGTATGAACATAATATAATTAATAGAACTCTAAGTAGCACATAGCAAATTGTTGCAGTGATATTAACTTAACAGGAGATGCATTTGTTTCAACAGCATTCACCAAGAAAATAGAAAAATAGAACTTACACAAATTGTTTGGTTTCAACTAAATAACTTGTAAAAAGGGACCATGCACAGTATCTTGGCCCTACAAAACAACCATATGCTTATCACCCTCTTTTCAATTTCTCAAGATTGTAATAATTTTAGGGTTAGGAAGAATTACTAAGATAAGTATTTGAGCGAAAACCTTACAGGGAGAAGTATAGCAACAATATATTCATATATTTTTGAAACTAAAAAAGAATTTAAAAAATGTTTTCTCGTAATTTTTATAGGCCTCAAATTTTACTTTCATTCTTATGCAATATTACCCAATACCCACATACATTTCTTGCTGTTTTCTTTCACTTAAAAATTGATGGACTACTTTGTATTGACTCATTTTGTTCCTTTTCCGATCTCTTCCTACAGCTTCAAGATTTTTGACAAATTTTTTGCAGGTATTCATTCTTGTCAAAACTGTACCAGCTGGTATTTCATACTTCTGCGCCGCTAGTTTTTTTTGCATATATTGTCCACATCTTTGATCAAGTTCACTTTTTCTGCAACATTAAGGGATTTTTGTTTGAGACTTCTTGGTTCTCTCATTTGAGAGTTGTACTGCACCTGTCAGTATGGCCTGCTATTGCGGGTTCCCAGGTCTGAGCAAGTGGCATTTGACTACCGTTGTTCTCTCTTATGAGAGTGTTATCACATATTAGACTTCTGTCAATTCCTTTCTCTTGTCTGAGAGTAATAAGGTTGGATTCCAAATAAACATATCTTGAAGCTGTAGAAAGAGATTGGAAAAGGAACAAAATGAGTCAATACAAAGTTCTGGACGAAGCTGTTTTAAAGTGGGCAAGTTTCAAATTTTTAATATTCTACTTTTAGGAATGTTAATCATCTTAAACTAAGTTGTCACTGCACATTTGTACAGTATATATGTTATTAAGTCACTATTCCAAGCATTTGATATAATGAAGGCATATGTTTATACTTTATTATGATGTCAGTGCCAAAGTCTTTTGGTCATACTTGAAACGGATTAATAATTAGATGAATTGGCAATTATGATGGGCGATGAGGGGGAATGGTGGAATGTGGGGCAGGGAAAATAGGAGAACCCAAGAAAATTTCCCATAAAACACCTAACTGAAACTGGGAATTGAACCATGGTTTCCGATGTGTCTGCAACACTACATTAATATGCAATGATAAATATCCAAGTACGTCCTGGAAGTACAATGATGGCAAGCATAGAACCCCTAGAATGTAGTGTTCAAACAATCTACTGCATTTCAGAGCTGCAAAACTATTTTCTATTAATGAATGATGCTTAATTTTATTTCAGAAATTTCTCTACATGAAAGTAAATAAAAAATTATAGTACATGAGTAGAAGCAATATAATAATACTGAAATAAAACACCAATAAATACATAATTTTTCAATTTGCTACACTAACGCAGTAGTCAATGAATATGGTAATGGTAATGGTAATGGTAATGGTAATGGGAATGGTAATGGGAATGGTAATGGTAATGGGAATGGTAATGGGAATGGTGGTGGTGGTAGTGGTGGTGGTAGTGGTGGTGGTAGTGGTGGTGGTGGTGGTGGTGGTGGTCGTGGTAGCAGTAGCAGTAGTAGTAATAATAATAATAATAATAATAATAATAATAATAATAATAAGAAGAAGAAGAAGAAGAAGAAGAAGAAGAAGAAGAAGAAGAAGAAGAAGAACAATAATAAAATATTTCCTGCTTGAACTAGTTCAAAAACTAACAAGGGTCTACAGCACCTCCCTCTCCTTTCTGAAGAAAATGATATTCATGAATTAGCTTTTACTTATTTTCTGTACTAACATAAGTCATTCATACATCAATTGTTAATATAAACATTAATAATACATAAACAAACAAAAATACATACTATATTCAGTATAAATGTACAATTCTTTATAATGGCAACACCAAGTCGGTTGGATCCTACGCATAAAACTCCCTCCACCCCACTGAGAAAAAAACTGGGTGTGCCTCTGGCATTGTGTACATACGTATTCATTAACCAAGAAACTTATTTTATAATATTCAAAGTTCAAATATTCTCCTCGCAGTTCCCTCAAAATTTGTAATACACAACAACTTGACTACCCTTACCAATGAATGCACAATTTCAAGACATCGCATAAAACATAACAAAACAAACATGCATGATTGACAACCACAAAGCAATATAACAGACACCTTTAATACAGCTACTAAATCATCTATGCAGCATCAACCTCCTGTGAACCTGAGGTACTTCTCAGGCACCCAGTACCAAATCGTGTAAGACTTGGGCAGCATGAAAACTAGATAAAAAATACAAGAATTTTAAAGGTTATGTAAAAAGCGCCAGAAAAAAGGAAGCTATTGTATTATAACCATGTCTTGGCCATATAATAGTCAGTTGCAAAGTAATTCTGAAACTAAACCAAAGGAATTAAAGTAATAATGAAACCATACATCTCCATGCAACCTTAACACAAGTAGCTGATTTGTCCAAAGCCAAAATTTCCGTAAGACAAATATCTTCTATGCTGAGAATTCCTCTACCTATGAAAAGTGACTTTTGGTACCAAACATACATGTAAACCTATTTTGTATTGAAACCTCTTCTACACTGAGAACTAATATTTTATATCTTTCCAATCGCTCATACAATTCCACAGGAGTTTTAAATTACTTGTCATCTCCAACCCCTACTTTATCATGAACATTAAAATACAGAATTCTTAATTATAGTAGCTAAACCTCAGAAACAGCATTCTGCTGAACTTGAATTCCATCATTTCATGGAGATAAATTTAAATTATGCACATAAACGATTAACTATCTCTGAAAAATATTGCTTTTCCTGTTTCATGTAGTTTAGTAAACCTTTGAGATATGTTTATGAAAGATTTTATAAACAACTTTTTAAGAATAAATGTTTTTAGTCTTAATTCTGTGATCTGTGTGATTAGTGTCTGAGAAAATAATGCCCAAAGTAAAATATTTTCTTCTGCAAAACTGTTTTTAAACAATTAGAAACTATACTGAGTATCAAAAACAAAAATTCCAACAATGATATTTATTAATTACGATTTGTACAATATAATTCTAAAATGGCAAATAACCTATGATAGTCCAATCAAATGGGAGTTTAGCAGAGAATAAATATGGAAGTTTTTTCATATTATAAATGTTTATCGGAGGGCTGAATTCGAATTTTCACTGTACCACCTCATAACTGTTGTGCATTCTGAGAAAAAAATATCTTATACAATTTTTCGTTTATAATTCCTATAATAAACTATGCACTCCCAACGAAACATTTTCAAATGCAAAAATAACAATAAATATCCTACAAATTAGGTCTCTTAGATTTTTCATCACATGTATAATTTAGACACTAGAACATGGAGAAATTTGACAAAAAATTCACAATACGTCAAAAAAGGGTTTTCTTAGATTTATATTCAGAAGTCTAAGTGCACAGTGACATTCCATATGTACTGCAGCTAACAGTCAAGTCAACAAAGGACACCTGGTGAGGGGATGAAGTACAGAAGCTTTTTCTCAATCCTTCTACGTTTTTTGGGACTTTCAAATCAAATGATATTTTTACAGTTTTTTGCTTACAACTTAAAACTAAGTATTTTTAGCAAAAGATGTTCAAATTAAAAAATTATATAACCTTATATTACTTAATTACTTGCAAATTATGTTGCTTTGATAATTATCATCAGGTGAACGATTCAGGTAATTTAGGTGCTAGAGCATAACAAAGTTTGCAACCCCCACTCAAAAAAAGGATTTTTTTTTTTTTTTTTTTTTAAATTTCCAGCTATAACTAGGAAAATGTGTACTCTTAGAAAAAAAGTGTTGGTTACTCTGAAAATAGAAGAAATTTCCTATAAATTATGCCCTTGAAGCTTTTTCCATCAGATGAACAGTGATCATCAGATCGTTTAGTGTTGTCACATTAAAATATACACACACACACACCCATGCACACGGACACACATAAACGCACCCGTCCACGCAACATACATAGATATATCTGCAAGAAAGTCTCTTCTAAAAAGGCAATTAATTAAATTATTTAAAATGTACTATCATTATAACATTTAAAAACTGTGTGTTACAGAAGGAAGCAAGGAGGTAGAACAATCTGTACATGTTTTCATGAACAGTATGCATGAACAGTCTAATAAATGTCTAGAGCCGGATACATACAGTACACACTAAGCTTCACCATGCTCTAGCATAAACACATT